GCTGCGGTCTGTTGCTGTTCCAGCTGAAGGTGTTGCAGCTCTTCAGTGGTTAGCTCTTCCCTGTGGTTGTCCACCAACTCTTCCACATCCTGGCCACTCACATCCAACCCCATGGACTTCCCCACTAATACAATACATTCCACAACAGGCGTTGTGGAATGTCCGACACACGTATGCCACTTTCATGTTTTGCTGTAACTTCTTTCTTGAATTCTATTGTGTTTCTCACCTTAGCAAAGAGCTGGCACTCTGAACTTTCTTTGGCCCCATGATGGCTTATTTCACAGTTGCAATCAACAAAAAAAAAAAAAAACACCAGAAACAATGGATGAAGCTGTGAAGTATTCCTAACCCAATGAGAGAGAGATGCACAGACTGAGTGTGATGCTTGTGAGGAAGAGCGTCAATGGTCGGTAGTGATGCATCTCATACCAACAAATTCCAAGAGCATGGCTGATATCTGGAGCAAAATTTTGTCGATAAGTGCTCGATTTCCGAATTGGTAAATTTCCGCAGCGGCCTATAACCAGGGTTACACTGTACTTATTTATCCTCTTTTTCTTAAAATATGTGTTACCTATAACCAAACCCCTTTCTATACAAAGTTCAATCAAATGCTCCCCATTATCACTTACACCTGGCACCCCAAACTTATCTACCCCACCCTCTCTAAACACTTCTGCTTTAGCATTTAGGTCCCCTACCACAATTACTCTCTCACTTGGCTCAAAAGTTCCTACACATTTGCTTAACATCTCCAAAATCTCTCTGTCTCCTCTCTTCTCCAGGTGCATACACATTTATTATGACTCACATGCATAAACTACTTTATAGAAAGCCCCTTGTTAGGCAGAGCATTTTGGGCAGCCTTTAACCCTTTCAGGGTCGACAGGCCCTCTCCCAGACTCGTTCTCAGGGTTGAGAAATTTAAAAAAAAAAAAAAAAAAAAAATTCTAATGAAAAGATTCAGTTTCTTTTTTCTAAAAATTATAGGCTAAAAAAAAATTTTTGTCATAAATACTTACCGAGATATGGAGGTGTAAAGTTGACAGAAAATGAGCCACATGTGGCATCATCGCCGACTGCCGGTCACCCGGTATTTTCTTATTTTCTTTTTTTGTACTTTTTCTATTATTTTTTAATTTTTTTTTTCAAGTAACTTTTATGGCCTGTGAGACCAACATGAGCACTATTTTGTAAGTTTTTTCTCTATATTTACTACACAATAACTGCACAAACAATGTTGTCACTACATTGTTTAGAAAACTTGTTTACACAAACGAACGATATAAAATGTTGTTTATTACTATTTTACTATATTTTATATACACATATACAGTCACAGAACATGTTTCTAGAAGTTCTGCAGCCTGTGGAACTCTTTGAAACATGGTGTCATGCACAATGGTGTTTTACACTCCTCACACATAAACGAGTGTCTCTGCATTGTTGTGGGTGCTTTTTTGTATGTGCACAGACGTAACACCTCTTCTGAGCCTTTTTCTTGAAAGCAGTAGCAGGCAGTTATATTAGGAAATGATCACCATGCTTCAGATGAGAAGGTAGTTGTTGATAATTTAGTGGGCAGTTTTCTATTGCAGGTGTTGTTCCTTGGTACTTGAATACTATTTGTCTGATGACAGACAAACAAAATTCGCCATATGGTGGTTTGTTTCTGGTCCTCATCTTATACATATTATAAGCATTGAGCATGGAAATGTACAGAAGATGGAAAAAAAAGAGTTTTATGTACCACTTATAACTCTTGCGAACACAATCAGCAAACCCAATCTGCATGTCACATTTGTCCACTAAACACATATTGAAGGTGTAATCAATCACAGCTGCAGGTTTTAGAATGGGTTCATTGGTCTCTCTATTCTACCTGCCAGTATCTGCCATTTTGTTAGGGTGAACTGATGACAACAGTGTGACATCTTGTTTGTCATGCCACCGAAATGCCATGATGTCATTGGCAGCAAACGCCTGCACCTCACCTCTACGAGTGCCAACGTCAAACCTGGGCAAATGCTTACGATTTGCACGCATTGTGCCACACACATCAGTCATGTTCACTCGCAAAAAATCACCGAGGGGCTTGTGTACCAGTTATCAGTACAGTGGACCCCCGCTTAACGATCACCTCCAAATGCGACCAATTATGTAATTGTATTTATGTAAGTGCGTTTGTACGTGTATGTTTGGGGGTCTGAAATGGACTAATCTACTTCACAATATTCCTTATGGGAAAAAATTCGGTCAGTACTGGCACCTGAACATACTACTGGAATGAAAAAAGTTCGTTAACCGGGGGTCCACTGTATATAATATATGCCCGTTACCAAGATATGGTTCAATCATTGTTCTAACCACATCACCAGAGATGCCCAATAACTTCCTGGTATTTTGCAATGTATAAGTTCCAGTGTACACAATAATATCCAATACAAGACCACTGTAGCAGTCACAAATAACTTTATACCAAAGCGTTTCCTCTTGCTTGGTATATACTGCTTGAATGAGAGTCTTCCTTTGAACAGAATCAAAGACTCATCAATAACAAGCTTCCTGAAGGGATAAAAATACGTATTGAATTTCTCTTTCAGGTACACAAACACATTCTTAATCTTACATAACCTGTCGTTTCTGTCAAGCCTGGTTTTGTCTGAGAAGTGAAGCATACATAATAGTAGCACAAATTGATTCACTCACATAATATCACTGAATCCTGGGGTTGCAATCAGGCGGTCTGTTGACTAGTATGATTTGACACTGTGCTTATACACATGTGGCATAAGCATTATTGTGGCAAACAAAAGATACGTCTCAGCTACAGTTGTCTCCTTCCACTGGTGTAGACGTGATTTTGGTGAAAGTATTGTGTTTGCCATGGTGTAGTCAAAGTATGTGTTGCTTTCCCTGACAATAATTTCCATCAGGGGTTCGTCAAAGAATAACTCAAAATATTCTAGTTCAGTGGCATTGTTCCCAAGTGTACAAGATGGCCGTATTCCACTTTGACTTTCATCAAACTGATGGGGATTGGGAACAAAATTGCCAGCTTCCTGCCAATCCCAAGTGCAGTCTGCTGGTGGGTACTGGATATTGACAGGTGGTCGTGGAGTTTGTGGTTGTGGAGGTTGTGGTTGTGGAGGCTGGTGTGGTGGGTGGGGGGGTGGGGATGGTGGCCTTTGTTGTAGATCAGCTGAGGCAGTGGCGTGGGTGGCAGCATGGCCCACTGCTGGTGCCTCACGGCCGGCACCACCACTACCACCACCATGTACATTTTCCATCTCAATTGCAACACTATCATCTTCATTTTCACTATCTGTTCCTGTTGTACAGCCACGGGATGTACTCTGAGATGTACTCCTTCCCCTTGGAATAGCATATGGCACACTACCAGAGTGCACATATCGTTGTATATACTGATGCTTCACTGGAGAATATTCCGCTTCACTATCACTACTGGAAGTGTTTTCAAGAGCTTGTAGTTCATATTCACTATCACTATCATCACCAATGCTCACATCTGAGTCCAGGATATGGGAAAACAGGAGTTTCTTTTTTCGTTCTGGTACAACTGAACGTGAACAAGACGGCCCATCAGCAAACGTGGAAGGCTGAGGGTCATCTGGGTTTTCCTCACTATTACCGGTACTATGGTCATTAGTTTCAGTCACAACTTCATCAAAACCTTGAAACTCATCTTCACTGGCACTTCCATCTGTATTAGAACTGTCACTGGGGAACAAAAATGTCCCAATTTGCCGAGAAGTGAGGAGTTTCTTACCGCGAGGCATGGTGAACAAGGTCTACTAAAATGTCATTCCCACAATGCGCCACTGGGTTCCAGATTTTTTCTACCGTGCACACCGACCACACACCCATTCTCTCACATCTTGGCCTACCAGTCTTTTCCCGCGAGATTTGAAGGTGCTAGAATTTACGCGTACTAGTACGTCAATAACCCTGGCGTGTAAGCCGTACTAGTACGTTGGAAACCCTGAAAGGGATAAACTAACTTATAATTACTAGACAATGAAGCAAATATAGTACTGTAGTTTAATGGAATACTATAGTTTGCCTTATTTGACATTTAAATACTGCATTCTAACAATTTGGAATATGAATTATAGTTTGAGATTAATACATGCTGAAATGAAGTGGTGATAGTGTGAACAACACTATGAATGCTAATATGATTTGATCAACAAGGTTGAAAATAATAGAGTATGCTGGAACATGAATTATCTAAGTAGGGTTAAAATCAGATTTAGGAGTTGCTTTTTGACAAAATTTTTAAGCTGGTGGCTGAAGGGGAACTTTCTGCACCTTTTGAAACAGTTCAAAATTTCAGGGCCTTTTATTTGCATGAAGTTCCTCTATAGGTTGAGTCAAGCACACAACATATCAAAGAGATAATTATTTCTTGTATTGTGTGCATTCTGTTGCAGCTCTCCAGGAAGAGTCAGAGTGCTGGGTTGAAGTTAGTTTTGAGCATCCTGTATGTATAAAATTCACAGTGATAAGTGTGGGTGTGTTTTATGCTTAGTAGTTGAGACTTCTGAATAGTACAGAAGGTGGTAGGAGGGGGGGGGGGTTGCCTGGAACCCGAATGGGTGATTATTCTGATAACTAATTTCTGTTGGGAAACTATGGGTTTTCAGTGATTTGCTGTAGTAGATCCCCAACAACAAATGCTGTAATGATAGATTAAATAGTAGTACAAAACTTATGTTATTTGGGGAACAAAGTAGTATATTTTTTGAAAGCATGCCCATAGTTTTGGTTAGCCAAGGTCTATTTAGTCTTTAAAATTGTGACCTGTTTGGTTTTTAAGGGACATTCTTTGTTGTAGAGGCATTGCATGTGATTGTGGACAATCAACATTATTGTATATGCCCTCCTCCCTATTGGTCCATTAATTAAAGGTTTTACTGAATTAGTATTAAAATGTTTGTGAATTATCTTTCAATAAATAAATATTTTTCATGTAGTCTCTAGCAGGGGCTGGTGTGACATCAGTGAGCAATGATCCCATACACATCCCTGCAACAGAACAAGTGGAAGGGCAGCGGGAGAACCCTATGTATACCGCATATCAGAACATGACTCCGGAGGAACGCCAGGTACCAATCACCACCTATAATTTTAATGCCTTATATTATTATACTTTGTGGGGAAGCACTAAATGTGTAAGGATCATCCAGCACCTGGGGAATGAGAGGCAATCAGGTTTGAGCCAAGGGCAGAGTAGCTCCAAATTCTTAAATCAGAGCCCTTAACTGTGAAAATTGCAACTAATTTTGCAAAACCACTATTAACAAAGATATTGAATTAAAAAATTGCATTATGTCACATGGCCTACAAAGCTAGAGAGACCATTATGTGGTGCAATGATACTGGTTATGAGTTTTGTAAGAGATTTTGTATTAGACTGTATAATCCTAAACTCGAATTTAATCCAGAGTTTATACTTATTATTTTTTATTAACACATCTGCCGTTTTCTACCAAGATAGGGTGGCCTGAAAAAGAAAAGCCCTTACCACCACTCACTCCATCACTGTCTTGCCAGAGGTGGGCTTTACAGTTATAAAACTGCAACATTATCACTCCTCCTTCAGAGTGCAGCACTGTACTTCCCATCTCCAGGATTCAAGTCTGGCCTGCCAGTTTCCCTGAATCCCTTCATAAATGTTACCCTGCTTACACTCTAACAGCACATCAAGTCCTAAAAACCATTTGCCTCCATTCGCTCCTATCTAACACACAAGTGTGTGTGAGCGTGCTAGATAGGAGTGAATGGAGACGAATGGTTTTTGGGACCTGACGAGCTGTTGGAGTGAGCAGGGTAATATTTTGTGAAGAGATTCAGAGAACCTGGTTAGGTGGACTTGAGCCCTGGACGTGGGAAGTACAGTGCCTGCACTTTAAAGGAGGGGTTTGGGATATTGGCTGTTTGGAGTGATGTCTACACTGTCATATCTGGGTGCCTCTGCAGAGACAGTGATTATGTATGAATGATGTTGAAAGTGTTTCTTTCTTTTTTGAATCACCCTGCTTTGGTGGGAGGACGGCCGACGTGTTAAAAAATAAATTAGAATTTATTGAGCATCTTGGTGCCTTTTTTACTGGATCTGTTCCAGTGCTGATTTGAAAAATATGAAGTCTGATGAGCATAAATATCTTAGCATAATTTCAGTCTCATGATAGAATGACATGAATTTTGTGCAGGTTTCAGAGGATGCGGTGCGTACCCGGGAGAGAATCCTGGAGGCTGCAGGTGAACTTTCTGCTTCCACTGATGCTTTAGCAACTCACAATAAAGAGATGAAAACAACAGGTCCATCAGCAAGTGACCTTGAGGTAATAGAAGAGGAAGATGCTAAGAATGACATAAGTGATCAACATAAGGAAACCAAGGAAAATACTGAGAGGATTGACGATAATAGAGACCCTCTTGGAGTAGCTATAATTACCTCACTTGAAGATCAAATTGACAGAAATTTTCTTGATGATACCAATAATACTACAAAGCTTGAAGATCATAAAGAAAATGCATGCACATTCAGTGCTTCCATTCAAGAAGAATGTTCCTCTGACAAAAGTGGTATGGAAAGTGAAATGACTGTCAAGGATCCTTTAGATGTTGATGATAATCAATCTAATCAATTAACAGACAGACAACAGCTTGCAGAAACTAATGATACTGAGGCACAGCTACCCAGGGTTTTTGAGCTAAATAATTCTACTTCTAGTTCTTCGTCTGGTGATGATACCTCACCTGCACTTCAAGATCTTGCAGGTTTTACTCCTTGTGTCAATTTGGATTTTAGTAATTAGATTCTAACAATTTTTTTTTTTAATTACAGTGAAATCATATGCTTGTTAAGATTATTATACCTTCAGTGTACAATTACATATTTCCACCCAGGAAAACTATACAGTACTTGTAGTTAAATTTACATTAAAATTATATTCTTTGGTGTTTCATGAGTTAATTTATATTTTTATTGTCAGAATTCTTATCCTTTTATGTATGAAACTGCAGTAGCAGCAATTTAACAACCAAGTATAATAATGACTAATAAATGCATTTTAAAATTTATTGAACATCTTTGTGCCCTTTTTACTAGTTCTGTTCGAAAAGAGGTAATAGTGACTTGAAAAATATGAAGTCTGATGAGCATAAATTAAAAAAAAAAAAAAAAAAAAAAAAAAATTATGCTCATCAGACTTCATATTTTTCAAGTCACTATTACCTCTTTTCGAACAGAACTAGTAAAAAGGGGGCACAAAGATGTTCAATATATTCTAAAATGCATTTGAGTCATTATTATACTTAGTTGTCAAACTGCTGCAACTGCATAAATATTTTAGCATAATTTCAGTCTAATGATAGAACAACATGAATTTTGTGTAGGCTTCAGAGGATGCAGCGAGTACCTGAGAGAGAATCCTGGATGCTGAAAATGAGCTTTCTGCTTTCAATAATGCTTTAGCAACTCTCAATAAAGAGATGAAATCAATAGGTCCATCAGCAAGTAACCTTGAGGTAACAGAAGTGAAATACTATGAATAACATTAATGATCAATATAAGACAAATGAGGAAAACACAAAAGATTGGTCACGACAACAGGAATCCTTTTCTTGATGATACCACTTACACTATAAAGCCTGAAGATCATAAACAAAATGCATGTACATTTAGTGTTTTCAATCATGAAGAATGTTCCTCTGGCAAAGGTGGTATGGAAAGTGAAATAATTGTCAAGGATCCTTTAAATGTTGATAATAAATTAAGTTAATCAATTAAGAGACAGACAACAGTTTGCAGAAACTAATGATACTCATGCACAGTTTCCCAGGATTTTTGAGCTAATAATAATTCTTCCAGTTCCTCCTCTGGTGATGATGCCTTTACTGCACTTAACCCTTTGACTGTTTCAGGCCCCTCTCTGAAACTGTCATTCTATGTCGCTCAATTTTTGAAAAAAAAAAAATTATTTTTTCTTATGAAATGATAGAGAATCTTTTCCCGATGGTAATGACACCAAAAGTTCGAAATTTGGTCGAAAACTCGTGGAATTATGCTCCCGCGAAGTTAGCGGTCTCGGCGACATATGCGTATCGGCGATTTCGCCGACTTTGAGCCCTATTTTCAGCCAATTCCATTGTTCCAGTTGACCAAACTCATAGCTATTTCTTTAGAACTCCATTTTATCTATCAGCTGAGTACAAGAAACCTCCCATTTACTAATTTGGACTACCCAATATGGTGGTCAGAAATTGGCAATTTGGCCAATTTCACACAAAATAAAAAAGATGCCAATTTCAAAATAGGGTCCAGAATAAACAAGGTAGACATTCGTGGCACTAAAATAACATATGCTCTGTTCATTAGTCACATCTCTAGGCCCCTCTTATATTATTATTGCTTTCTATTTTGATTTTTTATTCATACAAAAAAATACAAAATTTACTGTTATGCAGGCGACTGCATTATTGTAAAAATGGTATAAATAATATCAGTGCACTAGTGAAAGAATATTAGACTCCCCAGTTGACGTGTATTGGACGTGTGGTGTGATTTATTTACTCTTGAACATTGGTAAAAATCGAACATTTCCGCTAATTTGAGCTCAGTTTCAAGGTCGTTTTCATCGTAAAAGTAATGAAAATCATCTCTATTTCTGTAATATGTTTTCCATTTTATCACCTAAGACCATGAAAACGCGAATACAACGATAAATACTATACGAAAATACACCTCAAAGTCGGCGTTTTATTCCAAAAAAACGATCAGAGTTTTTTTTTTTCTCATTACGCAATGTGTGCTGCAGGATTTTTTTTATGTGGTGCACACTGACCACACAGACCCATTCTCTCACATGTGGGCCTACCAGCTTTCTCCCACTTGATTTGAAGCCGCTAGAATTATTGAGTATATATACGTCAGAAACATTGGCTCGTAAGACGTATTTATACGTCGAAAACAGTCAAAGGGTTAAAGATCTTGAAGGTTTTATTCCTTTTGTCAATTTGGATTTTATTAATTACATCTAAAAAATTGTTTTATTAAAATTAAATCATGTGTTTGTTAATTATACCTTGGTGTACAGTTCCATTCAGGAAGACATTATACAATACCTGTAATTAATTAAATTTACATGAAAATAAAATTCTTTGGTGTCTCACAAGTTAAGATTTATTTTTCTATTAGTATTTTTATCCTTTATGCGAATATGAAAATGCAGTTGTAGCAATTTGACAGCACAAGTAATTTTATTGTCTAATTTCATCATAAACATGTAACCAATTTACATATGTACTGGTGCAGCCCACTGTACACACAAAAGGCAGACCTATCTATAGTGCAGTATGTTTGTCCAGAAAGAAAAAGATTTTATTTCTTTGCAGTGCATGATTACAGTTTTGATTTGTTAAGTACAAAGAAATCCACTATCATGCCAGGGCATTTCGGGCAGACTAAACCTAATACTTACAGACTACTTAATACTAGTGATTTTGAGAGGAGTAAGTTTTTATTAAACATTGTTTTTCTTATTACAATAGAGGTAGCTAGTTGTTTACAGTAATTAAATTTATAGATAAGATGAAGTATATAAAAAATTACAGTACAGTGGTACCTTGACTTACGAGTGCCCCAATTTACGAGTTTTCCGAGTTACGAGCTGTCGGTTGGTCGATTTTTTGCTTTGAGTTGCTAGCCAAAATCCGAGTTATAAGCGACCTCCAGATAAACTGCCACTAACTGGAGGTGTATCTGAAGTCAAATCCAACTCTGTACCCAGAGGAATGTCAGGTGCTTTGTCCCATCCCACATGCTCTTCCAAGACATAAGTGGAAGGATAATACTCCCACACTAATCCCAGATTGTAGTGAGGCACCTCGTCCCTTGTTTGGCTCTCGTATAAATCCGGGGAAGAGGTAACCTCCATTTCAACGCTCAGAGTTTGTCCAGAAACATTAATGAAGGTGGGTGGAGTAGTGATAGTGGTAGGTGGAGTAGTGATAGTGGTAGGTGGAGTAGTGATGGTGGTCAGTGGAGTAGCAATAGTGGTGGGTGGAGTAGTGATGATGGGGTGGAGTAGTGATGGTGGTGGATGGAGTAGTGATGGTGGTGGATGAAGTAGTGATAATGGTGGGTGGAGTAGATATGGTAGTGGGTGGAGTAGTGAAGGTGGTCGGTGGAGTAGAGATGGTGTGGTGAGTGGAGTATACAATATTTCTTATTTATAAATACATTTTTCTTATTTAAAAACAGATAAGAAAAAAAGCTTGGGATGGTGTTTTTTGGGGCTGGAATGGATTAATGGCATTTCAATTAATTTCAATGAGGAAAATTGATTTGATATACAAGCAAATTGAGTTACGAGCTTGGTCACAGAACGAATTAAACTCTTATGTCAAGGTACCACTGTATTACAATATACCCCAATTTACAATAATGAAATTGAAACAATTTTAAGTTTGAAGTAATGATTAACCCTTAAACTGTCCAAACGTAGATCTATGTTTTTTCAACATTTGAAAGCATGTAAAAAAACTTTGATCTTCTTTTGTTTTTTACTTTTGAAAACGTGTAAAAAAACTTTGGTCTACATTTTTTTTTGTTATATTTGAAAATATGTAAAAAAACGTAGATCTACTTTTGGAGCACTACGCATGTGAATGTAGATCTGGTTGGACAGTTTAAGGGTTAAATAGTTGAGCAGTCATAAATTACAGTATTTAGGAGTGTTTTGAGTAACTGGTAGGTGTAAAGTATGTACAGTGGAATCCCAAATATTGGCTGCTGCGTTTATCGGCCTAATTGTATTTAGGCTGGTTTTAGGTGGAAATTTTGCTTCGTATTTCAGCCAGTGCCTTGCAAATTGGCTGTATTATATGCATCAGCCTACCTCCCGCCGGGACACCGCACATAGGTGAGTCAGTCTCCCTGTGTCTCTCGGTGAATGAGCATATACTCTGCACATTCAAACAAACATTTCCTTAAAATCCATTGGTTTTTGTGCTTGTTTATTAAGTGCGACTGTGAAATAAGCCACCATGGGCCCAAAGAAAGTTCCTAGTAAAGTTTCTTTGGTAAAGAAAGAGAAACACAATGGAATTTAAGAAGTTATTGAAAAATATGAGGGTGGTGTGCAGGTGCTGGAACTTGCCAGGCTGTATGGGAAATCCAAATCAACAATCACTTCCATCCTGGCAAAGAAAGAACAAATCAAGGAAGCTGTTGTGGTGAAAGGGGTAAACATGTTAACGAAAAAGAGATCACAAACAATGGAAGATGTGGAAAAGTTGTTGTTGTTGTTGTGGATCAGCGAAAAACAGTTTGCAGGAGGTAGTGTTTCAGAGACGATCATTTGTGAAAAGGCAAGGCAGTTGCATGCGGATCTCATAAAGAAAATGCCTGGAACTAGTGCTGATGTTAGTGAATTTAAGGCCAGCAGAGGCTGGTTTGACAGATTTAAGAAGTGTAGTGGCATACACAGTGTTGTAAAACATGGTGAGGCTGCAAGTTCAGACAAACATGCAGCTAAAAAATTTGTGCAGGAATTCAAGGGATACGTAGAGACTGAAGAATTTCACCCCCAACAAGTGTTCAATTGTGATGAAATAGGCCTCTTTTGGAAGAAAATGCCAATGAGGACCTACATCATGCAGGAGGACAAGGCACTGCCAGGACACAAACCTATGAAGGATAGGCTAACTCTTTTGTTCTGTACTAATGCTAGTGGGGATTTCACTTTGAAGCTTTACTGGTGTATCACTCTGAAAATCCCAGTGTGTTCAAGAAAAACAATGTTGTCAAGGGTTAATTGTGTGTGATGTGGATAATTAATCAAAACATGGTTCACGAAGCAACATGTTCTTGACGGTTAAGTGTGTGATGTGGAAAGTAATCAATAAGGCATTGGTCACGAGGACAATCTTGACTGTCCTTGAACTTGTTGGCCTAATGTTCCAGGAAATTAAATTGCCACCAGAGCCTACATTTATGGACAATGCCCTGCTCTACGTTATAAGCAATGGTAGTACCAATTGTAAGCAATCTTAGAGGCGCAGAAATCAGCCCTTCCTGAACAATTTTTTTGTGCACCACTGTCCTGTGTCCATTAAAAGACAAAAGGGAAGTAACCAAGATGAACTTGAAACCTGAAGTAATTATGGGGGGATTACCATACCAAACAATAACC